TGCACATATAGATCTCATCGTTCATATATACCTCAAACTATTACTTTTTACCCCAGCCCAACAGGAAGTCGGTTATTTAGGGTTGTTCATAAAACACTCGCAATGGAATTTGAAGTACTCCTCCTAGAGAATTCAAACACACGGCACGAAACTCGGTCAGCATGAAGTCAAGGCATTGAGGATGAAAGTTTGCGAGGGGATTTTTGATATCTCGAACGGTTTGGCCGTGGCGAGGAAACGAAATTATGGCGAGAATCGTGAAACAGGAAGTGTGTCAGAACTTCAGCATACATTAACTGATCTTGATGAAACTTCAGCAGTTTGTTTGCTGTAAGAGGACGATCACATGGATGTGAATATTGTGAGTCAAAGTTATAGCGCCACCAACTGGCAGCAGGAAGTGTGTCACTTTCAAAATGCTTTGAAATCACCCTCTTATTTTTACCCGATTTGCTTCAAACTTAATCTGTATAATGTAAATACATAGCAGATGAAGACCTGTGAATGGATTCTTGATATCTTTGATACTGTTGCCGTGGCAACGCATCAAACTTTAAAATTCTTTTTTTTGATGATTTTGAGACTCTTAGCGGCTTTTGGGGCCCTTAACGGGTTTGAAAACTCTTGAAACTTTGCACACAGGTCAGATCCCACAGCCATCAGAGCCGGGCTGAAGATGGTACCTGGGTGTGGCAGGGGGGCTAGACAGCGCCCCCTGGAACGGGGTCCGAACACTTGGTCCATAAATCAAACACGCTTGAATGTAATAATATGAAACTCGGTACACATGTTGATCTCATCGTTTCATCTATACCTCACACTCTTACTTTTTACCCCAGCCCAACAGGAAGTCGGCTATTGAGGTTTGTTTGTAAAACGCTCGCAATGGAATGTGCAATACTCCTCCTAGAGAATTCAAACACACGGCACGAAACTCGGTCAGCATGAAGTCAAGGCATTGAGGATGAAAGTTTGCGAGGGGATTTTTGATATCTCGAACGGTTTGGCCGTGGCGAGGAAACGAAATTATGGCGAGAAACGTGAAACAGGAAGTGTGTTATAACTTCAGCATACATTAACTGATCTTGATGAAACTTCAGCAGTGTGTTCGCTGTAAGAGGACGATCACATGGATGTGACTATTGTGAGTCAAAGTTATAGCGCCACCAACTGGCAGCAGGAAGTGTGTCACTTTCAAAATGCTTTGATATCACCCTTTTATTTTTACCCGATTTGCTTCAAACTTCATCTGTATAATGTAAACATACGGCAGATGTAGACCTGTGAATGGATTCTTGATATCTTTGAAACTGTTGCCGTGGCGATGCATCAAACTTTACCATTCTTTTAGGATGCTTTTGAGACCCTTAGAATGCTTGAAATTGCATGAAACTCAACAGACACATCACATTTATTAGCCAGTGGACACGTGCAAAGTTTCAGAAACGGGCGTGGTGAGGGCTCAGTAGCGCCACCTTTTGACAAAAGTGGGGTTGTTAGTTTTATCTACAGTTACAAAAATCAGTATGTATATTGTACTCCTCGAGCCGGACAACTTTCTAATTGACACTCATTAGCTAGGACCCACAGAAAGTCAGATATGTTTGTTTGAATGTAGAGAAAATCTCAGAATTTTGCCAGTGTCTCAGTGTCTCTCTGTGTGAGTGAGAGGAGGGGCGCCTGTCAGGTTAATTTTAACCCTTTATTTGCTGTGTGCGACTTCTCTGGCATTTTCGGGGGCCTTAACATCCTCTAAAACTCTTGAAACTTTGCACACGGGTCAGAACCCATGGCCATCAGGGCCGGGCTGAAGCTGGTCATCGGGCGTGGCAGGGCGGCTCGACAGCGCCCCCTGGACTGGGATTCGAACATTTGTCCATAAATCAAACACACTTGCGTGAATTAATATGAAACTCGGTACAATTATAGATCACATCAGGCCAAACAACTTTCGTGCTCTAAGTTTTACGACAATTAAAATGGAAGTTGAGAATTATGGGTTGTTTGAATAGTTGTCCTAGGAGAAATACATCAAATTACAACGCATGTGTTTACCAATCACAACCAAACTCGGTGTGCAAGAAGTCAAGACATTGAGGATGAAAGTTTGTGAGGGGATTTTTGATATCTCAAACGGTTTGGCCGTGGCGAGGAAACGAAATTATGGCGAGAAACGTGAAACAGGAAGTGTGTTATAACTTCAGCATACATTAACATATCTTGATGAAACTTCATCAGTGTGTTCGTTGTAAGAGGACGATCACATGGATGTGACTATTTCGAGTCAAAGTTATAGCGCCGCCAACTGGCAGCAGGAAGTGTGTCACTTTCAAAATGTTTTGAAATCAACCTCTTATTTTTACCCGATTTGCTTCAAACTTCATCTGTATAATGTAAATACATGGCAGATGAAGACCTGTGAATGGATTCTTGATATCTTTGATACTGTTGCCGTGGCAACGCATCAAACTTTAAAATTCTTTTTTTTTGATGATTTTGAGACTCTTAATGGCTTTTGAGGCCCTTAACGGGTTTCAAAACTCTTGAAACTTTGCACACAGGTCATATCCCACAGCCATCAGGCCTGGGCTGAAGATGGTACCTAGGCGTGGCAGGGGGGCTAGACAGCGCCCCCTGGAACGGGGTCCGAAAACTTGGTCCATAAATCAAACACGCTTGCATGTAATAATATGAATGAAAAACTTCATCTGTATAATGTAAACAGATGAAAAACTTCATCTGTATAATGATGAAAAACAGATGAAAAACTTCATCTGTATAATGTAAACATACGGTAGATGTAGACCTGTGAATGGATTCTTGATATCTTTTAAACTGTTGCCGTGGCAAAGCTTCAAACTTTGAAATTATTTTAGGATGCTTTTGAGACTCTTAGCATGCTTGAAATTGCATGAAACTCAACAGACACATCACATTTATTAGCCAGTAGACATGTGCAAAGTTTCAGAAACGGGCATGGTGCAGGGACTAAATAGCGCCACCTTTTGACAAAAGTGGGGTTGTTATTTTTATCTACAGTTACAAAAATTGTTATATACATTGTACTCCTCAAGCCAGACAACTTTCTAATTCATAGTCATTAGCTCAGACCAAGAGGAAGTCAGATATTTTGGTTTGAATATGGTGAGACTCTCTCTGAGCCTACATCCGTGTATGGCAAGCCCCTTTAACATTTAAAAGCTAAGTTTGCCTATCCGGAAATTAACATTGTAGATATCAACAATGTCTTTCTGTCTAGTCGTAATTACATTTTGGATAGTTTGTATTATCATTTAAGATATCTGTAACATAATTGTGACTAGTCAAAATGACAGACTATGGCAAGCCGTTTTAACATTTAATCATGAAAGGGCCAAAGCCTTCGGCACCGCCACCCCGGTGCCTTTAGGTAACTAAAGGAGCCGGGGTTGCGGTGCCACCGGCTTGGGCCCGCCATCGCTGCTCGCAGCTATATTTGTTTTTGTCTTTCATTTATAATTGTGATGTTTTGAAATATTCTTGGTTCAATTCAAGCTAAGCTCAATCAACAGTAGAATGTTGATCAAAACTTTTTTAAGAAGAAAATGTTAAATCTGTTATTTTTGTGCTCATCAACATTACACAACAAATGCTGCCGATGATCTTAACCTGTTTTGAACCCAGAATATTCCTTGTATAAAGAGATTTTATAACGATCGTATAAGTATGCTTATGTAAAGTGCTGTCTGTTTTGACAGCCACAGAGATACAAAAATATGTAAGTGTATTGTTCTACACATGAAATTCAGTGTTGTATGTTTTTGTTGATATGAAATTTAGTAAATCAGAATCAAACCTCTGTTTGACCAAGTGTTTATGTTCACACAAACATTTTGTCTTCATTTAATTTTTAAATACCTGAACAGACACAAAGGAGATGACTAACAAAACAAAAGCATAAATCTTTGAGCTTTCTTAATTTAAGATTCTTGAAATTACAATTTGTAGGGGGTGTTATTATTCTTAAAATTAGCACAAATATCTAATTGAACAAACACAAAAACTTGCACTTTATAACTCTCACTTGTTTCTTGTAAAATCTACCTCAAAATGAGTTAAAATGTACTTGTCAAGATCGAAGAAGACTGATTTTCTTGTATTAAGATTTAAAGTCTTGTGTGCAATGCATTACATAAGACTTTTTATCTTTCATGGCTAAAAACAAGATGTATTTTCTAGAAATAAGTTTTTTTTTTCCTTTCTTAGATTTCAGTTTTTGCAGTGTATAAGAAGATAAGATTGTTTGAAATGGGTTTGGCTAAGAGAAAAATTTGGTTTCGTCTATAGGCTAGCCTACTACTAGGTAGGCTACTTATATATTGACTGGGTTAAATAGAATTGCTTAATAAAAAGAGACTAAAATACAATTTTCATTGACTGAAACTAAACTATGTCTTTCGTCGACTAAAACTAGACTAAAATGTCATCAGTTTTCGTCGACTAAAACTAGACTAGACTAAAAAGAGTATGAATGTGACTAAAACTAACAAAAACTAAAATAGACTAGACTAAAACTGAAATTAAAACAGGCCGCCAAAAACAACACTATTGGAGATAAACTGTGCTTGACAGTCGATCGGCAGGAGCAGGGTTGGGCACCCCTGCCCTAAATTATTACATGATTAACTAAATGTATTTTCCATGTACATTTCTGAAATGCACTTTCTGTAAAGCTGCTTTGAAACAATATGTATTGTGAAAAGCACTATACAAATAAATTGAATTGAATTAATATGTTTATAAGTAACTGAAAAAAAAGCACAAATGTCACAGCATGTCAGAACATCTCAAGGACCCCCAAAACACCTTAGACCCAGAGGGTTAAAAGAAGAGAATATCAGCTTCATAAAGAGAAATCTTTCGTGTCTTTGTGACAAGTATTTACTTAGTTACAGTTCATTTTTTTCAGTTTACATGTTTCAGAATGAATTTCAATGACAGAGAAAATGCAAAATATGCACATCATGTTTATTTTTCTTTATTTGACAAAGCACAACACTTTGTTTTTATTGTGAGTATACACTAAAAAAATAGACACTTAACAGGATCGAATGATGTATAAAACTTATATGCAAGATCAAAATCAGCAGAGTAATTGGAGTCTCTTTTGCACTGATAAGAAAAAAAGTGAGCTTGATAGCCGACCCCAGAGAGTTTAAACTATCATAGAACTCATTGTATATTCAGGTTTCATCATAATCAGTGACTATATTCTGAAGCAAAAAATCTAGATGCACAACATTTTTAGAGTTTATAATAATCCAAAATAGTTTTGTAAATTTGGTTATTTACTGATTTTGTGAAATTAAATCACGTATATATATCTATCTAACCCTTTTGGTAAATCTCTATTGAAGGGGTGCCCGATTCAGTTCCTAGAGATGTACCTGCATAGTTCAGCTCTAACCCTGGTCAAACACACCGGAACCAACTACTTACCACCTTCAATCAAGAGCACTTGATAATTACAGACAGGTGTGTTGGAGCAGGGCTAGAACTGAGGAAGGTAGATTTCAAACAGCGTTAGGCTCCCCTGCCCTAGTGCATTGGAAAGCTGTCTGACAATCTGCAGCTGATCATGTTCTTATGCTAACTTTATGGACATCCATAGATGTTTAATAAAGCCGTCTTAGAGTCTGTTGCTGATCAGGTATTGAGCTTGTGAGAGGCGTTTCAAACGCTGCTTTAGATCAGCTCTTTTGAGTCCTCTCTCTGAGTCTTCACTCAGCAGTTTGACCACATTTGCCCCATTCCTCAGTTCCAGCATTTGATTCCGCAATGTCTTGGCAGCATCCTTCAGTATGAAGAGGATTATCAACATGGGCACATAGTCTGTAAGGCGTTGATAGACGATCTATGAGACAAGACATTAATTATAACATTCAACTGGAGCACAAAGATACTTGAGTCATCTTTTGAGGATCTTCAGATTTCTACAGTGGTGAAATGCTTTGGAAATTCTCTAAAAGGGAAGATCTTTGAGGAACTTTCAAAAAAGAAAAAAGTTGAGTAGGAACTTAGTAAAATGATTCAACATTTTTCGTTCATCATATTTAAACTTTTTTGTTCCATGTACGAAAAATAGACATGAGTTAAGAACAATGTTAGGTTGAGTAAATTAAGACAAACAGGCAAATGAAAGGGACAGGACATAGTGTGGCATGTCATCAAGACCATAAATGATGACTGTGCAGCCATTCTTAGTAATTGCCGTTGGCATAATGACGGAGCGGGCCTATAAAAGCAGCACGGTAGCGTCTTTGTGATATGCGTTATCCATTTCCGGTGTGTCACGGAAGTGTTTGTCTGGTAAGGAGCTGCAGTTGAAGCTGTACTTGTACATGTTGATAGAGTAAAGTTTTTTTTTATTATTAACTTATCTGGCTCCTTTCTCTATAGTGTGGACTTTGGATTCCGGTGACACAGTATAGCGACATGCATTGCAATAGGATGTTTGAGTGCTCTGAGTTGAATACCTCTGTGCCACAATTTCAAACCGAAGTGAAGCAAACTGCAGTGGGCTTTCTGTTTGCTGCTCTCTTTTGCTAGTGCTGCTTTCTTTGTTGCCGTTCTCACTATTGGGATTTGGGTGTATGAATCCTCGCATGACGACGCTTGAAGCTTACTGAATCTAAATCAGCAGGGTGCTGCAGACCGTCAGATCGACTGCGCCTTGCCTGTGATCAGTGTTCGCGTGCTGTTGCGCGGCTTTTGCCGATATTACGTGAGTTCGAAAGCTGGACACTTTAAACATCTGCTGGAGTGGGTCGCCTGGTGTGTCGCAGATTCGGCATCGTAACCCGCTCTCTCTCTTCGCTCACAAACACATGAAACGGTTTGACCATTCACCAGCAAATGTCAAGTTGGAAGTTTTTTTTCGTTTTCTTTTAATTGTTTTTTTCTTCTCTATTTTGTTTCTTTATGATATCTGTTAACGAGATCTGGTACAATTTAAGTGGTTGAAGATTCATTCTCGTGAAATTATTTCTTTATGCTGGCCAAGTTTCTGTGAATCTGTTATTTAACATCCTGAGTTTCTTTGGCTTGGCTTTAAGTCTATTTTTTTCTCTCTTTTTTTAGTATTTTTGTCAACACGTTTGTGCATTCATTTATTCTTTGTTATTGTCTCGTGGGTTAGTTGAGTTTTTTGTTATCTGGTTAATTTCTTATCCAGCAATTTAAATCAGTCATTAAGTAACTTCTCTTTGAACCCAGTTTGTGAATTGACTCCGTTGTGAATGTATTATTTATTTTTTTGTTAAAGTTTTGTGTATGTTTATGATTGCCTGTTTCTTTCTTTTGAGTACCAAGTTTTAGGAGAATACGTGTGTGTTTAACTGGTACTTCTGCTCTCTCTCTCCAGGAGGTCGGGGACCCAGATCTGTGTGTGTGTGTGTGTGTGTGGACGAGCCTTCCTCCCTGTTTGGTGGCGGTCTCTTCTGCATGCGCTGTTTCACATTTTTGGGGTTGCAGTGTGAGTGCACGTGTGGTTGCCGTGATTTCTTGAGATCACGTGGGATGCTGTGGGATGCTGTTACCGACCTCCCAGTTCAAATGTAGATTACTTGGAAAAGATGTGTGATATCATTGAGAAGGCATCTGCTCAAACCAAAGATATTTTTCTTTTGGGGGATTTCAACATTGATTGGTTTTCAAAGAAGTGTTATTTACGTAGAAAGATGATTATAACTACTGCTTCTAACCTTAAACAGATTGTTACACAACCCACAAGAATTTCTTTGAATGGCAAATTTAAATCGACATGTATTGACCACATCTTTACAAATGTGTATGAGTTGTGTTCACATGTCATCTCAGTTGGAGTAGGATGCAGTGATCATAATTTTATCATCACAGCAAAGAAAACTAAACTGCCTAAATTTGGTGCAAGGATTGTCTATCGAAGATCTTATAAAACGTTCGACCCCAATGCATTTGTATAAGATGTAGACACTTGGGCGGCTGTTTGTGAAGAGGAGGATGTCAATGCTTCTTTATGAATTTTTATGGACAGGTTTGTGGAAATAGTTGATAAACATGCACCAATTAGAAAAAGGTCGATAAAAGGCAATAATGCTCCTTGGCTAGATACCGAGCTAAAATCTATAATGAGGGAAAGGGATAATGCCAAAGCCGAAACTCTAAAATCTAAAAGTGATATGGATGAAAGGTATTATTGTAAGTTGAGAAATAAAGTAACAAAGTTAAATAGATTGAAAAAGAAAATATATTTTAGCCAAAAGATTAGTTATTCATCAAATAATAGCAAGCAATTGTGGAAAGTTATAAATGAAATAATGTGTAAAAAACCAAAGCGTTCTAATATGTATTTGGAAACAGGAGAGGAAATAATTACTAAACCTTTGCATATAGCAAATCATTTGAATGACTTTTTTTATAAAGAAAACTGTAAATTTAAGATCTAGTATGTTATCATACCCTAAGGTTTCACCTTGTAGTAATGTGAAGAACATCATGAGGAATACATCTTGTTCATTGACATTTGGTACAGTTAGAGAGGAAATTGTAGAAAGGATGTTGCTCTCTCTCCCGGAGGAAAAAACTGCAGGTATAGATCATTTGGATGGCAATTTTTGTAAAACTGTTGCTAATATCTTATGCAAGCCTATCAGTCACATTTTTAATAGATCTGTGATAAGTGGGGTATTTCCGGAAATCTGGAAGCAGTCTAAAATTATACCGTTAGTGAAAGATGATAGATTAGGTCTCACTGAATCAAATTGTCGACCAATTAGCATTCTACCTATATTGAGCAAAATATTTGAAAAGTTACTTTTTAATCAAATGATGCATTACTTTGTTTAGGGCTGTTGCGGTAACCGCAATATTGCAGTACCGCGCTTCTGACAAGTCAACCGCAGAGTATTGCACGTAACCGCAGGAACCGCGATATTCACGTTTTTTTTATAAGGCTTCTTCTTGTTTTGAACTTCATGCATGTGTATTGAATGCTAAACAAGTTCATAATGATAACAACAAGACTGTTTATCTTGGTGATGTGTAGCCTACAGAGGCTTCACACAGACAGTGAATGAGAGAGATCTGCAGAGCGCGTGCGATTACCTGCGTCTGTATGAAGTCGTGAAAAGGTTGCCGTGTCAAAGGAAAGCGAAATATTTGTCGTATCATCATTTTAACCTTCACGTCACGGGTATTTTAATGCGCGTCAGCAGCAGCGCTGGTCAACATCCCACAGCACAAGGAAGCTGCGGAAAATAATATCACCGAGTCACGCATTGAATCAATGCCATATTGGTCTCTAATAAGTGAAGCATCAGCTTCCGCGTTACCCATGCGACGCATTGCTGATCAGCTGAGCCTTGAAAAGTGGAACTCAAAGTTAAAAATAATTAACATCTTGTTTCATTAACGTTACATCTCTTTTAATGAATCAGCTTCTTTAAACGTGTTCGTTGAATGAACGGTTCAAAGTCCGTTGTCATAACAATATGCGCGCTGAGTGAAGTGAAAGCCTTTCAATCATGCTTTCAATGCGCATATAGACGCTGTTTAGTTTCGGTTATTGGTTAAATGACCTCGTTTTTGTCCATATCGTAAACTTTATTTATATAGCAATAAATACTTATAAATTAAATAAATAAATAAATAAATGGCGGTAATACCGCATATCGCGCTATTGAGCCACTCAACATTACCGCAAGGGAAATTCCATAACCGCGACAGCCCTAATTTTGTTTCAAATGATTTGCTCTCTAATTCACAGCATGCTTATAAGCCAGGACACTCCACTAACACTGCATTGGTACAAATGGTAGACCAGTGGCTAACTTTTATTGATGATAAAAATCTTGTGGGTGCTGTGCTGCTGGATTTCACAGCAGCTTTTGATGTTATTGATCATGACATTTTACTTTCTAAACTAATGTACTATGGTTTTTCACATCAGTCTGTGTCTTTGATACGCAGCTATCTCTCTGATAAAAGTCAGCGGGTATTTTTCAATGGAAGCTTTTCTGATTGTAAGCAGTTGTCATGTGGTGTTCCTCAGGGCAGTTGTTTGGGTCCATTGTTATTTTCAGTGTTTGTTAATGATATGTCACATGCTGTTTCAAGAGCAGATGTTGTACTTTATGCAGACGATGCTACAATGTTTTACGCAGCATCTACAATAAACGATATACGTTGCACCTTGCAGAATGAACTTAATGCCATTACAAATTGGGTGAAACTTAATAAATTAGTTCTCAATATAGCTAAAATTAAATGTATAGTTTTTGGTACTAAACGTATGCTTGGCGAGCTTTGCAACTTAAATCTAATTGTTGACACATCTGTGGTAGAGCAGGTGAGTTAGACTAAACTATTGTGTGTGAAGCTGGATAGTCAGCTCTCCTGGGCTGATCAGATTGATCATATTGTGTCCAAAATGGCTAAAGGTATTGCTTTTTCCAGGAGATGTTCAGTATATTGTCCACCAGCAGTTATGAAAACAGTTGTCCAGTCTTTAGTCCTGTCACATTTGGGGTACTGGACAGTAATTTGGTCCAGTGCTGCAAAGGGACATCTGAAAAAACTACAAATGGTTCAGAATAGAGCCGCAAGAGTAGCACTTGGTTGCTCTTTTCGCTCTAGTGTGGATAAAATGCATACCCGTTTGGGCTGGCTAAGGGCGGAGGACAAACTTAATATAAGTCTTCTCTGTTATATGCATAATGCTCTATTTAAAAACAATCCAAAATCTTTTGTAGACAAACTGATTTTTAGTGGGTATTGTCACAGACATGTTACACGTCAGGTGAGCTCAGGTGTGTTAGTGGTTCCATCTGCAAGGTCCAATTGTATGGCAAGAACTGTTTTATCTAGAGCATCATC